AAAAAAAATTCAATAGTAAATTTTCATAGGGGTCCATATATAGTTTTGATTTAATTAGTTGACCGCTCACCCCAATGTCCCACGGCTGTTATTATCATAAATATTCGTTTCTTGAGAAAATGACTGGACACGGAACTGTATTTACATTTCTTCAACGATTCTCACTATTTGAAGTAGTTTGATCTAATTCATAATTGCCAGTTAGCCCTTTCCAAGTGTATATAAATTTTATTAGCAACAATTTATTTGTAAATTTATTTATACGTAAATATTTTATTTTTATGTTACATCAATTCAAAAATAATCACACAATAATAACATTACATACATCATCACATTTTAAAAATTTGAAAAAAAAAAAGAAATTATAAAACGACAACAAACAATTACATTACAAAAGTAAATGCAACTTGTAACATATTGCACAAGGTAAAGCTAGCAGAAAGCCAAAGTCATGATTTTATTCTGTATTTACTTTGGATGAAAAGAAAAGTAAGTTCTGTACGCAAGTACACTGTTTGACCAAAAGATCGTTTTTGTTTATTGCACAAATTAAATTTTTGGACACAGGATTCTTTTAAAAGTCTAGATAATAGTTTAACTGGCAAAACTACTACTTTAAGCTGTTTAATGAACGGAGTAACACTGAGTGGCGGTGAAATTTATTTAGAGGGTAAGAAAATTGGCACTTGACTAATACTAACTCTACTTTCAAAATTTAATTGGCTATCTTTTATTCTCCCATACAGGCTTGAATTCTTTGAGACATACTTCATTAAAAAGTTCCGAGGAATTTTATCCCATTCATCTTTTAAGTTCATTAAGATTTCAATGCATGTTTCTAGGTTATTCAAAACATGCTCGAAGTACTTTAGATCTGATCTCTGCCTTTATGAAGGCCGATTATTTATCTGCATTCAGTAAGTTGAAATTTTAAAATCTCTTTTTAAAAAAAGCAAACAAAAACTTAAATTTAATATCAAAATTTTACTGATGTTCCTCAGTAATTGATAAAAAAGTTTTGATTCACAAGATCTAATTGAAAATTCGTTTTTCTATTATACAAAACCTAAAAACATAAATAAACTCATGCGTATTTATTCGCGGGAATCTAGGCTATAAATTTAATTTATGTTTATTATGTACATTTTTGTGTATTTAACAATTTTTCTTTACAGGACATCGCTAGGATAAAGATCTGATTGGTATTATAAAACCAAGTTGTAATTACAATCGATCAATAATGAGTTTCATTTGCTATTGTCAATATGGTATGAAAAAACCATTCTATAATAAATATTCAGGCCTTCAACAAAGTATTATAAATAATCAATTAGATTTTATGGAATTCGAACGGTTAGTAACAATAGTAATAGATATTTTGAATAATAATAATTATATTTAAACAAAATAGCTTGAACTTAAATATTCGTGGATTGCCATATCCTATTAACAAATTACATTATTTGCATTAGTATTAGTAGCAAAACTAAACGCAAAATATATTGCGATGATAGTGAAATCATCAGATAATCAAAATTTCCAGAATTCTTTATTCTTTGAGGATAGAGAGACCTTCCTAAATATTAATGATATGTGCATATAAATGTTGTAAAATAGAACATTATTCCATTAAAAAAATTTATATTTAATAATAACTTTATTGACATTTGCCAATGTTCAAACTTGTTATTAAAAATAAAGGATCCCTTAAACGGTTGATCAGCTATTGATAGCCAATAAAATTTTTCTGATATAAAAATTTTTTTCCAAGGGCATCACTTTCTAATACGAAATGATCTTTGAAATTTAGCCAATTAATCTATAAATAAAAATCCAGTTGTTGTCCTTGTGGTTTTTGTAAAATTCTCTTTACAAGTTGGTCGATCGACTGTTTTTACTTTGCTGATTGTTAAATTGACCCATAAGAATGATCAAACCTTTAATTTGTGTTACCATTAAAGAATACTCTGACCGTTTAAGAGATAATAATATTAGTGTAAACAGTTGATTTTTTTTTCACATATAGTGAAAATTATGGATATTTATTATAGCTTTATATCATAATATAAAAAAAAATGTTTGTTATATTAATACTACGTAATAGGTAATACTATTAATGATCTATTTTAAAAAAATTATCTATCTAATAAAATATAAATACAAAATGTTTATAAAATTACTACACTAGCATCCATCAATAACTTCTCGGGAACATATTAACTTTTTCTAAAGATATTCTTATAAATATGTTGTTCTCAGATGGAGGCGTTTTACTCAACATATATGCTCTTCTTATATAGTGGCTTTCATACGATGTTCTTATATGGAGGTACGACTCTTATCTTAATTAAACTTCAAATTGAAATCAAATTGTTGATTTGTGTCAGTCTCATAAAAACTACAAGTACCAATTGTATTTTCATTTGGAGATTTTTGATTTAATGGTTCAATATCACCATCACGATAATGTATAAAATTTATCTTATCACCATTATTGCCTTCATCATCATCATCATCACCATCATTACCATCACCACCATCATCACTATCATCATCATCATCATCATCACCATCACCATCATCATAATCATCATCATCGTTATCGTTATCATCACCACCATTATCATCTCCGTCATCATTATGGATTGAAGGAACTTGTTCAGCCTTTACTTCAATATTATCAGACATAATTTTGTTTTTCAAAGATAAAGAAACAGCAGCTTTAATGTTATTCATTTTTCGAAAAATTTTAATGCGTGCGTGTGTTATAAAAAATGCTATAATTGTATGATATTAATTGTTGTTATGTTATTAAAAATTTATACAATTATATATATTTATTGAAAAAATTAATTATCCAAATTTAGTTTATCCATTTTTTCGTTATTTGTATTTTAATTACCATTTTTGTTTGAATAAAAGAATCAAAAGAATCGAACAGTGTTCTATTTACTTTATGATCTATGTAAACCAGCAAATCAGAATTCGTATAGATCAAAAGAACAGTGATGATATTTCCTAATAAAAACTGCTAGTCGCTCTAGACCGAAAAAAAAAACTGTAATTAGAAGGTTTTTAACTTCTATGTTGGTTATTGATGTACAGATGTTGTTACTCCAGATAGTGTGTTCGAATGATGGATGCACTTGAAATCACGTTGTAATATAATCAACAATTAAACTTAAAAGTTGATTGTGAATGGTATCACAAATTATTAATTTGTTTCTTCACAATTATTAATATATTGCTTGTTATTATGAAAATCGATCTCTTTTTGTTCCAGCATTCACGATTAGCGTCTTTGAGAAGTTCTTGCACTTTTTTCTCATTAAAAGTTTTTCTCGGAGTGTTTCTATATCTTTTGGTGTTTAGTTTAAATAAGATCATGAAAACGAAGGCAATATGAATGATTTTTATTTAAAATCACCCATTAACAGTAAGATTGGCATTTTTTTATTCCATAAAGAAGAAACCTATTATTTATTTATTTTAATTATTTGTGTAAACATTAGTAATAATATTATAATATAAATGGACCGGCTAAATCAGAATCAAAAATCGAAACTTTTATCTTACTTTGATTAAGTAATAAATTTAGTCCAGAACTGGAGTTGTATTACATATAAGTTGGTCTTTTATCTATATTGTTTGATTGCTGTGCTCGACTTATAGCAAAATCGGTGCACTAAACCAAATTTGGAATATCAAACGCGTTTGATTATATACCCAATGTACAAATTTAGGAATAATCTACAAAAAATGCAGAAATACACACGAATTTTCATTCAAATTTTTAATTGGAATGTAACGTTATACCCTACACTGAATTTTCAATGAAGAAAATCATTTGTCTGGATTACACGTTGGATTTAGTCACTTTGACATATTATTATTTCATATTTCAGATAAAATGATAGAAATTTTTTAATTAATGTGCAATTTTTTTGAATTTTAAATTTTTTTTTTGTGGATTATGAAAACCACGATTGTTAAATAGAAAAGTGAGTAGGGCATCATAATATTACACAAGCCACATAAAATTTTTCCGTTAACGCAAAATAACCAAACGTTTAATTACCATTGGTACTAACTTTTTTCATTCAAATAATTTTAATTTGTTCAAACCATATTACAAGAATGAATGAATGATACAAGTAAAGACGTCGTGCACACGTAAAATTTGCGTGTCATACAATAACAACAAAAAATGCTCCCAGAAAAATTAGATTAAATCTTTTGTTGACGCAAGATAATCAATCATTTATTAACTATTAATATTAATACTTTTATTAATATTATAATTCTGATTTGTTACAAGAATATGACAAGTTTTAATATATTCTCCTTTATAGATGCATTTCTGGCGTAATGAAAACTAAGTTTGTAGAACAAGAAGGTATCCATCTCATCATGATAACTATAATTAATATGCTCATTTGAAACATTAATGACAATAAGCAGTCTGTGTAATAAATACTGTATCTCTTTCATCTCATCAACAATAAATAATAATACTTGGTATTGTTACCATTGATCGTTTATGATTTTGTAGCAAAAGTATTCGTGTTCTCTAGATTACACTTAAAAATATTATACTTGTATTTTTAATTAATAATTATACTATATTGTAAACGAGTTAAAAAACTGGTATGATAATCTTTTATTTATCCTGATGGATCCCTGTTTGAATCTTTTTATATTTATTTTTTAAAAAAATTATTATGGATAACTAACTAACACATAATAATATCAATTAATCAATCAATCAATCAATCAATCAATATTAATATCAAATGTTAATGAATTGCCTTTAATCATCAGTTATAATAATTTTAGAGGCAGATAATTACCGAATTGAGAAGATGTAAAATATTACAAGAGTATAAACATATTACGCGATTACATAATGTATACCGTTACACGCGCGTGCATGTGGCTTCGAAGCTGATATTGAGTGAACAAATTATTATTAACGATAGTATAAAATATACATCAACCCTAGCATAGAGATATAAAAATGAACCTATTCCTCCAAAGGAAAGCATCACGCGAAGCCGGTTCATCATTACTTGACCGAAGGAAAGTACTGGAAGATACAAAGTCATAATAAATATTTTCTTTCTTTTCTTTATTTACCTGGGAGGAAGGCGCTTTCGATCTTCAATATTTGAGAATTCATAAAAAAGAATGTCCTTTCAAAAATAACATTGTTTATAAGCGTCTGTTCTTCCCAAGCTTCTAAATTTCGAACTATTTCGCACAACATCTACCAAAACACAACCACCATTAATAAATTATCATAATCCATCTATTTTCTAATCGGTGAACCCAATATGATCAAAAAAATATATATTATTAATTGATACGTTCTCTAATTTGTTATTGTTTGCAACCTAACCCATTTGTGTAAATACTAGCAGGTTTTTTTAGGTTTGTCTTCATTTTTTTTTTTTTTTCATTAAAATCTACTAAATATGGTTTCAATGTTGGAAATTCAGTGTAACCAATAAAATTTTGAATTTCGCAAATCATTCTGTATATAGGATATTCCTTAAATGAAATATTTTTTGTTTTGAATGTTTATGTTCCAAGCTTTTTTATGTTGTGTGATACAGGCTAATTTTCATTGCCCCATATATAACTAAAGAAAAGAAAATTTATATTAATTATTGTTTCTATCTATAATCGTAGAGAAATAAAAAAGTCTACAACGTATTTTAAGTTAAAATGCTACTTCCTAGCGTTTATTATTAACATTTACATATAATATGGAAAATCTTTTATTTTCAAAAATTTTAGCAAAGTTAAATTCATTATTGTGCCGATAGATTCATTTAATAACATGTCATCAAAGACGATTAAATTCATCATAGTAACATACAATTAACACGATACCTTTTATTTTATAAAAACTAATTTTCTTTAAAAATTTATATCTTTTACCATAATGATGTGTGACGAAACTTTTGACCTTAGTCATTAACGTAACTAAAGTATTGACTAAATCTAGTTCCTCGCCAGGCCATTTTAATGATTTGGCTAAAGTAAAAACCCTTGACGTAAGTAAAGCCACTTACATAATTAAAAATACTTGACGTAATAAAACACTTGATACAGGAAGCAAGTAAAAAATGATTTTTGTTGGTCAATTTTTATGCAAATAACCTATGAATTTTATATATTAATATAGTGCCTAACGAAACATAATAGTGATTCTTGGCTACATTAAAGCTTCAGTTTTCGTGGTATGTAAACTTAGACTAACATAAGCGCACAAAATTTTTGAAATGCATGAAAACTTTATAGTAGTAATGGAAATATATTAAAAATAGCAACATTTAAATTCTAAACCAATATTACATTATAATAAATTATATTATTTTCTATCTGCTTCTAATATTACGCTCTTTTTTTACTTGGTCACGATTCTATTGAAAAAAACAAGCAATTGCAAGTATTTAGTCACAATATTAATAAAAAAAGATTCGCGAGTTTCTTGTGTTTTATCAATAATTTACATAATATACATTGGTGCTAAATTGAAGTGAAGAACTTGGAATATATATTCATATGTTGTTTTGTGAGTTTTTATTTTTTATTAGCCTTTAAAGCAATTTTACTTGCTTTAAGGTTTTTACTTGCTGTTGACTGTCTACTCTTTTCTAGTCCTAAATTTATTTTTAAATTAGAATCAAATTAGGTATTTATGAGCATCAATCAATGGTTACAAAGTCATGAAACCTAAAGAATATGGAGATATTTATCGGCATTTTGTGCACTTACAATAACTTTATTTACAAAATAAAATTTATAAGTGTCGAAGTCGCCTGGACACCAAATAATAATAATAATAATAATAATAATAATGGAAGAAATAGAAATATAAAATGAAAAATTACAATAAATAATAATAGTAATAGTAAGGATTATAAGCATCGATTTGAACTTCTCCACATTGAGGTTGACTTGAAGTGATATTATTAGTTGATGATGTTTCTATATCAACACCATTAATAATCCATTCGGGGTTAAAATCAAGATCATTATTAAAAGTTTCGAATGGTAGAATATCAGGCACCATAGAGACACTTGCCGTCGTAGAAAATTGATCAACTGCATCGTGATTCTCAGTTTCTATCATATCAGTATTATTGTCATCAATATTTTGATGGTTGGACTCTCCCAGGTACAATTGTTCGTGGTATAATTCTTGGGTTGATATAGCACATTGAGCATGCTGTGTATTTTCCTGAATTAATATATTACCAAAAGAAAGAAAACGGAAAAAGGAAGTTGATGATAAAAATAATGATAATTTAGGAGAGAACAATGAAGAAAATAATTGTGATGGTGATAATATTTTTGACGATAATATAAAAGGGAGCGACAGAGAAAATGATTGTGATGAAGAAGAAAGAGGAAATGCAATTTTGTTATTGTTGTTGTTATTATTATCATTGTTATTTGGAATATTGACTATTTTCCATTTCAAATATCTTTTAATATTATGGTTATCGAGACAAATTATTTTTCGATATTCCTTGTCAAGTAGTATTATTTTCGGTTCTGAACTTCTTTTTTTTTGCCATCCTTGCTTAGCTTTTGAAATTTCTGAAATTATTTTTCTCTTTAAATTTTTTCTTCTTTGGAGTTTTGCATAACATCTACGAACCCGAATAAATTTATTTGTCTGCCGTTTTATTTTTTTTGTAGTTGAAAAAGAACTTGAGGATGAAGACTTTCTTAAAAAATAAATCCAAAAAATTTTCGCAAGAATCAAAAGAAAAGGTTCTGAAATTTTTTGTTTCATGATTTTTTTTATGAATTAGGTTAATAAATAAATAAATTAACAACTTAATCTACTATTTTTTTTTTATTTTTATTTTTATTTTTTTTTTTATTTTTTTGACAAAAGGTATTAACAACCAAAGTTTAAATATCTTTTTTTAATGTGGGAATGAAGTGAAAATTATTTAAACATTATATAATCCCCCTATTTTTTCAAAACTCACTTTCACAAAAGTAGAAAAGTAGATCCAGTGATTGTAATCAATTAAAAGATAGAAAATCTATTATTATGATACTTATATATTCCGACGCCAAGTCGTTCCAAACGAATACCATTCTATGGCAAAACGAGGAAGTCGTGCATTTGTAAATAATTTAAATTTTTATATGTATTACATATTTTTAATCAAATTTAAATTAATAAATGTCACGTCGTTAAAAAAATTATTTATTTATTTATTTATTTACATTATAAATATTGATAAGGTATATATGATAACTATTTTATAATTTAAAGTTTACGAGATTGAAATTGGATGATTATTTGGCTTTATAAATAATGAGTCACAATAATGCATTGTATATAAGTAATCTAATTTGATGATGAATTTGAAATACATTGCCACCAATATCGAAACTATAACTGCGTATAATGAAAAATGGTGGTTAAAATATGACCAACTTTTTGAAAGTATGTGATTCACATACCAAGTATAGAAAGGATGAATAATAGTTATTTCGCAGAACAAGCGATTTATCTCATGAATACTTATTTGGTTATGAAAAGGTTATTTTATTGTTTATTTTTTGTGAAATCTTTCTCAATTTATTTCTCAAAAATTTTTTCATGATTAAAATATCTCAACCTATTTTTACTAGAGCAAGTGCTCTTTGTTTTTCCCAAAAAGTATCAGAGACTTCAACACCTACTTTACCTCAAAACGGAATGGTTATTTCAATATCAATTTTCTTTACACAAACATCATTTGAAATTTAAGATAACCTTAATTTATTGTCAAAAAGTTTCAGTAAACAGAAAACAACATCTGCTACTATGAATACTTTAACTCGTGCTATACAACTATAAAAATCTCCAATTATTGCAGATTAATCAAGTAATAGCATAAATACCATCTATGCTACGCTCGACTCTTCTTTGGATGATATTCAAGAGAAATTTTTTGTTTTTTAATTAATAAATTAATATTTAAGATGATAATCTATTCAAAAATTACCAATCGTGGCATATGTTCCACGACATATACCAAAAAAACCAACAAATAAAAAGATTATCCATCCATGGAATTTAACTTGATTAATATTAACCAAATTTTCCGATTGACTAACTATTCATATGATTATCGGAAAATTGTAAAAAGGCTATTTCAGGAAAACAATAAACAAACAAATAATAAATTTTCTTTATAAAACAATTTGAAAACAAAAACTATTGTTTCTCCAAATATTTACAATGATATAATGGATAAATTTTTTATTAAAAAAAAAAAGCCTTTTACAATGAAGTTCTATATAGGCTTATTACTAGTTTTTGTATAACAAATATTTTTAGTATTAATTATCCATTTCAAGGAAATTGATGATGATGAATTATTATCATAAATATTCGTTTCTTGAGAAAATGACTAAAGATGGAACCGTATTACATTTCTTCAACTGGTTTGATTTAATTCATAATTGCCAGTTAGTTACCTTTTCAAGTGTATCAAATTTTATTAATAACAATTTCTTGTAACTTTATTTATTATGTAAAATATTATAATTTTTATTTTTGTTTTTTTATGTTGTATCAATCCAAAATAATCACACAATGATAACATTACATAAAAGAAATTATAAAGCGATAACAAACGATTACATTATAAGTATTTGTATTATAACAATAGAGATAAATTGCAACTCGTAACATATTTCAAGGGTAAAACTGAGGACCAATGAAAATAAATATAAATCACCTGACCTTCCTATAAATATTAATTATCTGTGCTCCATGATTAAAAATTGTTATATATTAAATAATAGCCTCAAACTTTAGCCATCATCATGAAAACATACATATAATGGAAAAATTTTAATAGGTATATGGATTTCCAATATTCGATAGCTTTTAAACTTGTTATTATATTTCTTTTTTTATTATAATGGAAATTATGGATATTTATTACAGCTTTATTATAAAGAAAAAAGTTTTGTTTATATTGAAAATATTTAATAATACTTTTAATTATCTATTTTAAAAAAATAATCTATTATTTATCTAATAAAATACAAAATTTTGTAAATTAATACGCTAGTAAGTAACTTTTTTAAAGATATTCTTATAAAATATTGTTCTTAGATGGAGGTGTTTCCCAAGATATATGCTTTTCTTATATAGAGGCTTTCATATGATATTCTTATATTCTTATCTTAATTAAATTACGAGTTGGAATCAAACGGCTGGTCTGTGATTATGTCATAAAAATTGTAAGCATCATTTGTATTTTCATTTGAAGAGCTTGGGTTTATTGGTCCCCTATAACCATTACGATAATGCATAAGATTTATTGTAGTTCTAGGATAAAACCTATCGTTATCATCATCGTCATTGTCATTGTCATTGTCATTGTCATTATCATCGTCATTATCATCGTCATCGTCATCGTCATCGTCATCGTCATCGTCATCTTCATCGTCATCGTCATCGTCGTCGTCGTCGTCGTCGTCGTCGTCGTCGTCGTCGTCGTCGTCGTCGTCGTCGTTATTGTCATTATCATTGTCATTATCATCGTCATCGTCATCATTATCATCATCGTCATTATTGTCATTGACATTGTCATTGACATTGTCATCGTCATTACCATCGTAACTGTCGTCGTTATTAACACGTTGATGGGTTGGAAGAGAGTCCATTCCAGTATTATTTTGATCCAATTTTTTGGTGATCGTGAATGAAGAAGAATCGAATAAAATATTATACATTTTTTTTTTTTAATCAAATAATTTATGAATCAAAGCTGTATTTATAAAAAATCGAGTATATTTATTTTCTCATTATTTGTTTCTGTAAAGAATCAAAAGAAACTTCTATTTACTATGTAAAAAAAACAGTTAAAATTCGCATTTATTGAAAGAACAGTAACGTTATTATTATAATTTACCTTTTTTAGTAACAAATAATGCGACAATAGAAAATAGTTAAACGGATCAACTTACCATTCATTTTATTCGCCTTATACCAAAAAAAAAAAAACTAGAATTAGCACGGAGTTCTTATTCTTTTTCTATCGTACTCCGTTAAAGTTAAGTATAGGTGTTTGAATGAATTTCAAATTAATAATTCAATACACGATCATTAACATATTAGTAATATTTATTACATTGTTGTTTTTATCTCCCATTTATGTTTGACATCGTCAAGAAGTTTTTCTAACTAGAAATGTTCCTTGGTATAACTAGCTTTACTTTTTTTGTAGTTGAAAAATGAAGACGATGTTCTCGAGCTGAATGATATTTAATTATTAACAACAAGGTTTGGCATTCTTTATTCTATAAAGAAAAAATTTGTTTATTTATTTATTATTTATTTTATTAGCTTGATTAGTAATATCATTGTACAGGCTTCTTCGGTTTTTTTTCTCCATTCACATTTAACATCGGCGAGAAGTTTCTTTTCATTAGGAATGTTCTTCAAAATATTTGGTGTGACTTTTTTTTGTAGTCAAAGAAAATGAAGATGATGCTTTTGATCTGAGTGATGTTTATTTAAAATCTTTTTTATTGACAACAAATCTTGGCATCCTTCTTCTCCATAAAGAAGGGAATTACAACAATAACAATAACAATAACAATAATATTCAATTCAAATTAAATATTATACAAAAAGGGTAAAAAAAAAACAATTAGTGTTAAATCAAAATCGAAATCGGGATATTTGTATATTAATAGTTTACAGTTTTGATCGATTAATCAAGGTTTGTCATGCAAATCAAATTTAATTGGGAACAATTTATTAATTTAATTGAACATTGTTGCCAAATTCGACGAAAAACAAATTTATATAATAGATGCTAAAAAAAAACCAATCTTATTTTATTCAAAAAACTGGAATTTTGCATTATACCTAAAACTTTATCGCGGTAGTTTTTACCTTTTCTCAAGATCCTCCCCAATTACAACAATGGAATATATGTAAATAAAAGCGTGCCTGACAAGTTTACTTGGGAACTATAAAGCAGATTGCTTGGTAAAATTTATACTAATATTATTCCTATTTTGTGACAATTCTTCTTCACCATTTCTTTTATTTCATCCTTTGTAGGTATTTTTCTTTTTTAACAAACAATTTAAAGTTCTCTTCTCTTCTAGAGTTTCTGTCAGTCCGGATATTATAATTGGACTTATTTCTAGCATTCAGCGTAACCATCTTTTCAGAAAAGTGGCGAAAAAACTGCCAAACCAAATTCTTGCAACCCATTTTGTAATACAAGTGCCAAACTTTTAAACAGATCTTTGCGTCTAAAGGATTGGAACTTTTTGTGTAGAAACGTGCCGCTGGGCCCAGGTCAAAATCGAGTTAAGTATTTATATGTAACTTTCTACAGAGATCATTTTGAGCTCACGAAAATATCCACCGTCAGATAATAATTTTTGAGATAATTGAAATTGTAAAGATGACATCATTTTCGTAAAAACCATTTTTTCAGAGACGTGTTCGTTTCTATTGAAATCATCTATTATATCTGTCGTCGATTTGGCTAGTGTTTGTGCTCGTATTGTATCAAAATTAATTGGCTTGTTGATTTTTGGTAACTATATAATCATACCGCTTATTAAATCAAATAAGAAATACGAACGATGGATTTTTTCAAAAATATTCTTTTAGAAGTTGAATTACACTCATTTTATTGTAATATAAGATAGATATATTTGGTAGTCATTTTCTTCCGTTGATATAGGGGGAGTTAGATTATAATTGTTGTTCATTCAAACTAATAAAGAACTTGTTACAATGTCTTTTTTGTATAATTGAATAGCAACTTGTTAATATTGATCCTGGAAACTGAATGATGGATACACTTTCGAGAGGATTTTAATAATGGTGATATCTCAAGCCAGTATGTCAGGCGCCATAACAATTTACAATCGTTTTATTAGCAGTAAAAAACCATTGTCACTAAAACGGAAAATTACATTATATATTATTATAAAAGAATTTACAAAAGGTGGTTGATCGTCATCATCATAATAATAAACTTAAACTCGATTTTTTTTCACGTTTGTCCACTTAAAGTGTTGATTTACTAATATCATTAATAGGGTTCAGTGTATAGCACGTTGAGAATTATTTTGGATCAATAGACCATGAAAAGAGTGAGAATAGTAAGAAGAAAATAATATAGGTGGCGATGATGCAGGAGAGAGCGGTGAATAAAATGATGATGATAAAGGATAAGGAGATACAAATTTGTTATTGTTATTGTGAATTCTTCATCATTATGATTATATTTTATGAAAGTGAAATGGTTAGCATCTATTAAAATATTTTCTTTGTATTTTTTATTCTTTATAATATCTACGAAACCGAATGCCTACTTACAACTCTTTTTATTTTTTTTCTGGTTGATGAGGATGGAGATACTTTTGAAAGAAAATCACCTGGCTGCGCGTTATTCATGAACGGCTGGAATTTTAATCTACATGTTCAACAGTGAAATTAGCACTTTTTTACTTGATAAATCATTACTATTGCAGCTCCTGTGTCATAAATTAATAAAATAATGGGTATTTTAAAGCTATTTTTTTTTGAAAAGGATGATAATAATGCTGAACTTTTTAAAAAATAAATATAATAGATACCTCTCACAATTTCTTTTCTTTAAATTTTGAGTATAATTATTTGTTAGTGTCGTGAAAAACCTAACGTAAATTATAAATGATTAAATGAAAATAAACAACGATAACGCTATTTATAAGCGAAGATGCATCATAATATAATTACAATCTTTTATTTTCCGTTTGTATATATTATAAAAAATAACGCCCAAAGATAATCTAGGCGGATTCAATTACAATCAATACTAACTAATTTCATTCAAATAAATATTATAATTAATTCTAATTTGTTTCAAGAATATTTATAAAAAATCAATGTAAATAAGAAAACAATAACGATATTTTAAAAAGTATATAGACAAGCAAAGGCGTAATTTAATTATTTCTGAAAGTTTCATAATTTCATAAGGTTACACAACCGCGTAAAATTTTTTTTTATTTTCCTATTACACATTACTATTACACAACACACGTAAAAAATTTTTTTAATTTTTTTTTTATTTTCCTATTACACACTAATACTAACATGTAAAAATTATTTTTATTTTCCGTTCATAATACTACACTAACACGTAAAAAAATTTTTAATTTTCCGTTCATATTATAATAACAATAAAGAAACTATCCACGCTAAAAAAAATCATTCATTGAACCATTAATATTAACTAATTAACATTTATATTTATAATTCTAAGATTGATGCCAAGGAAAACCTAATATTCTTTTTATTGATGCGAATTTTCTCTTTTTTGGCTGTAGCAAATAATAAATGAAAACTAAATTTGGACAACAAGAAAATTCACAAACTCCTCTCATAATTGATATATATAGTTAATATACCCATTTGATTAATCATTAATGATAATAAACAATCAGTTTATCTTCTCTATAACATTTTATATTTATATAATCAACAATACATAATAATAGTTAATATTGTTACCACTGATTGTGTTGTTGTTCTTTATGATTTTGTTTACGTTTCTTTTGCATTACGCTCTAGAACGAACTTTATTTTTTTAAAATAATTATATAATTATCTAACACATAATATCAATCAATCAAATCAATCAATCAATATATCAATAAATGTTCTATTTTTATTTTTATTTGTACAAATACGACCACTAATAAAGAATTTTATAAGCCAATAATCAATCGTTTTTACCAATAATGATATTAGAGGGTCGAGAAGATGACGCGCAGTTATATAATGTATAACGGTACACATACATGCGGGCTTTCAAGGTTTAAATGACAAATCTTATTATCGATAATATAAAATATGCATAACCAACCAACCATATCATAAAGATATAAAAATGAATCTATTCACAAAGGAAAGTATCACGTGAAACCAGTTTTCCGTCACCTAAAATCATGCAACCGAAGAAAATACCGGAGGACACAAAATCATAATAATATTTTCCTTCATTTATTTCCTTTCTTTATTTTCCTGGTGAAACCAGATGGACGAGTCTCGACCTTTCTAAATTTAAGAGTCCATAAAGAAGAGTGATTTTCCTTTGAAAAATTATATTGTTTATCGGCGTCTTTCTCCCCTTTTTTTTTTATCAATATCCATACTTCCAAGCTTCCAATTTCGAACAATTTAATCTACCAAATAAATCACGGAAATCTACAACCACTACCAGTAAATGATATCGTTATAATCAGTGAACTCCAAAACAATCACAATAATATAAATATTGTCAAAAAAAAAATAATAAATTGTAAATAAATCAAAACTTTATTGATAACATCCATAAATGATATATCAAACAGTTGACATGCCTATAAACAAATCACATTCTAATTTGTCTATTGTACAGTTAACAGTGTTATTTGCAACCTAACCCGATCCATTTGTCTAATATTGGTAAATTTTTAGGTTTGTGGTTATTATACCTTCTTTTTTTCTCGCATCTGCTTTTATTATAACAAAATCTTTAATCAGTAACTAAATATGGGGTTTTTTCCCCCTTCACGGAAATCAAGGCCCCGAGTTTCATAAAATTCGTTACTATATAAATAGGATCCTAAAATGAATAAGTGTAAATTATTCTAAATATGGTAATATCGGCGAAAATGTTTGTATGTCTAAAGAGGGCTTGTTTTTATTGTACGTAACACGGGGACTATTGATGCTTTATAACTAATTTTTCTGAAAAAAAAAATATATTAATATTCCATTTTAGTTATTTTGGCTAAAAGTATAAAAATATGGAACAATATATTTTCAAAAATTTTAGGATGAGTAACAAACGTCAACAATAATATCGCAAGTTAAACTTACCATTGCTGTTGATGCATTCATTTTAATATAATGTCATAAAGACGATTGAAATCATTACGTAGTAAACATATAATTTTTCTTTGATTTTACTAACGATATTTTTAACAACCAATACCTTTTATTTCTTAAAAACTTATTTTCATAATCTTATCTACCAAATCGTCACAGGGTAAAAAAGTCCACCAAATAGACCCACTGTGCACTGTCAGGGCTATTTCTATTTGACGGAATGTTACTAGGGTTATAAAACTATTACGTCAATTTGCTTTCATTGAGTCAAAAACGACATAAATAAAACCTGACGTAAGTCAAAACATATTGACATAAGTAAAATTGCTTTAAAGGCTAATTAAATATAAAAACTCACAAATAGGGTTGTGTTGGTCTTTAAAAGATAGTCCTGGGACTGGTCTTTGAATTGGTCCCTTTGAACTACGGTCCTAAATTTTAAGACAGTCTTTATAGGGCCAGATGATCTTTCTTAATAAGGAAATTTTGAACAATAAAAATTATCTTTTTTTTGTCCACCAGTATTATGTTAAAATTGAGGAACTATCTTTTTTTTTGGAGTTTTTATTATTAATATATATGTTTTATTGAAGTCAATTTTCAAAAACTAGTGGTGTTACTACTTTATGAAGACATCCGAAACAAATACATTCAATTATTGCATACAAAATACAAAGAACTTTACATCAATATCATAATGACACTCATAATTCAATTAACCAGAAAAAACGTGATGAAGCTGTGATAAATTGGATAATTTGTGATTTATAGTCAATTAGTGTAGTACAATGATTGCTGCTTTTGATCCTAGATATATTTATATTTTTATTAATAAATTTAGTGGAACAAAAGGAACAAAATAATTAAATTCGTTGTTATTTGTTGCCAAAAATTTCTAAGTACAGTAGTAAGCAGGATAAATTTGTAAAATAATTGATGAGTGTAACTAAAAATTTAATTTGAACCTGGTCATAAAATGTAAGATAATCAAGATTGACCAAAAAGCTACCTCGCAATATGTGATTCACATCAATATCCTTTAAACAATCTTTAACCAGTCCCAAAGACTGTATCTAAAGATCGGTCCTTCGGTTTTTCAAAAAAAGACCGGACCGGATTGGACCAACACAATTCTACTCACAAAGTAATATAAAAATATATATTACAGCTCTCTTCTCTTCAATTTGGCACAAAAACCAATATTTATATTATGTGAATTATTGATAAAACATGATAAACTCCCACAAATGTATGGGTGAAATCCATGAGTATATTTTTATTAATATTGTGACTAAATATTCACAGTTGCTTTATTTTTTTTTAATAGGACAAAGTAAAGTAATGAAAGAGTGTAATTAGAGATGGGCAGATCAGTACTATGCGTATAGTGCGTATAGTTCTAGAAAAATACATAAAAATTAATTAATACTCTTCTCATGATATATATATATTAAACTTGCCTGCAATTTGGCAACATTTTAATATTAACGTTCTAGTTCAATATCTAGATGTGAAAAACATTTACGTCTTTGTCCAAATGCCACAATTCAAATTAAAAGAAATTATTTTGGAGAACATTTTAATACTTCAAATACTAGTAGTGTACAGATAAATTACAACATAATTGAAATTTCATCAAAGAAGCTGATGAAATTTTTATTGAAGAATCAAATAAAATGAAAGCAGTTTTGATTTTTATGATATTTAATTCATTCCATATAATTAATGATTCATAAATAAACCCTAAAAAAGTGTAGGTTGAATAAATTAAAGATTTATGCTTATCGTAATAGCCAAATTATTTTTTTTTCTTTAATTATTATTATTATTCAGTTTTGTATTACATTGGAAAATCGCCCAATCAAATTTCAACACTACTACTATACGTACTATACGTACTATACACACTATACGTAAATTATCGTAAAGTATCGTATAGTGTTCAACTATACGCCATTTGCCCATCTCTAAGTGTAATAGTAGAAGCAGGTATATTTTAGTGGTATGAATTGGCCAAGGAATTTTCAAATGGCTTAACCGACTAAATTAATTAGATGATAAAAAAAATTTTCTCTCGACATTCATTTTTATGTCTAGAATTTTAGTGTAAAATTCAGCGGCATAGACACTTGGTTGAGATGGGTTTGTCTGCATTATTTATAATGACAAAAGAAAAAAACCTACATTTACTCAAAAAAAAAATATGGTAATAGTGAACCATTAAATAGTAATAATGACGGCGAATTGGGAGATAACAATAGTAAATAATAGTAGTGGTGGTATTAATACCGGCATTCTTAGTATCATTTGATTTATTTACAAAGAAAAAGAAACTTACTTGGTAAAAATGTTAAAAACAACCAATTTTTAGTGAATTCATAAAACGAATGTTATTGTCTAGTAAATTATCTAATAAAAAATTCATCCAAGTTCTTAGCCAACTAAGATTTTTCTGCCAGTTGACATCACTAGTATAGTTATTATAATGTAATGATGGTCAGGCACATTTAAAATTTTGGGCGCTTATGTTAGCCTAAGTTTACGTGCTGGTTTCCAAAACTATGGAGTTTCGCAACTGGCCTTTTGACTTTTGATTCAGTTTTGACATATAACTTTTGATTTTAGTTTTGACTTTCGTCTCTTCAATATAGTTTTAGAAACCAACACTAGTTTGCATACCGTGAAAATTGAAGCTTTAATATGTCCTTTATACTAGTAAGCACTGTTTAGACACTATATTTTATAATTTTATTTATTTGCAAAAGAAAATAAAAATTGATCGACATCATTTTTATATTTTTTTCTTGTTGTTTTTACTTGTACCAGTGTTTTACTTACCCAAGGATTTTTTACTTTAGCCAAATCGTCAAAATGACTCTGGTGAGAAACTACCTTTCAGTCAATACTTTAGTTACGTCGATGACTAACTTCAAAAGTCTCGTTATACATCATTAGCCAGGTCAAAATCTATAGAAATAGTCAAAACAACCCATCTCCATTATAGTCGAAGCTCATTGCGGTGGATCTCGTTACGATGGGACAAAATAAAAAATTGCATATGGGAACCGAGGGTCTACTATAATGAGAGTTAACTGTCTGTCTACTCTTTTATACCCTTTAATTCAACAAAATATCAATGGTTTACAAAGATACGAAACCAAAAAACATAAAGAATATGGAGATATAAGATTTATTGGTATTTTGTTTTAAAAAAATTTTTGTTTACATTTATATTTATTATGATATACATTTGTAATATGACAAACATTTATATATAGAGTAATAACTGTAAACTTATAATAACTTAAATCGCTAATATAAATCAAGGAGATGGATAGAAAGATTGTAATAAATAATAATTATCGTTATAAAAATCGATTTGATCTTCTCCACATTGAGATTGACTCGAAGTGATATTATTAGTTGATGATGTTTCTATATTAATACCCTCAATAAACCATTCAGGGTTAAAACCAAGATGATTGTTATAAGTTTCTGATGGTGGAATATCTGGTACCATAGTGACATTTTCCGTTGTAGGAAACTGATCAACAGCAGTATCATGATCCTCAGTTTCTATGATATCAGTATTATTGTTATCAGTATGTAGGTGGTTGGATTCTCCCAGATACAATTGTTCAGGGTCTGGTTCTTGGGTTGGTATAGCAGATTGAGCATTCTGTGTATTATCTTGGATCAATGTATTACCAAAATAGAGAAAATGCGAAAAGGAAGTTGGTGATAAAAATAATGGTAATTTAGGAGAAGAAGAAGAAGAAAATGACGATAATATTTGTGACAATAATATAGGAAGAGATGCAAATTTGTTACTGTTGTTGTTGTTGTTGTTGTTGTTGTTGTTGTTGTTGTTGTCATTGTTATTTGGAACATCTATTATTTTCCATTTCAAATATTTTTGATTGTTGCCGAAATAAATTATTTTTCGATGTTCCTTATTATATAGTATTATTTTTGGTTTTAGTTTTTTTCTTTTTTGCCCCTCTTGTTTAGCACCTTTTGAAATTTCTGAAATTATTTTTCTCTTTAAATTTTTTCTTCTTTGGACCATTGCATAAGATCTACGAGCCCGAATGAATTTATTTTCCCGTCTTGATGTAACTCTTTTTATTTTTTTTGTAGTTGAAAAAGAATTCGGAAGAGAAGACTTTAAATAATAAATACAGAAAATTTTCGCGAGAACCAAAAAAAAAGGTTCGGAAATCTCTTGTATCGTCATTTTTTTTATGAATTAGGTTAATAAATAAAAATAAAATTAGCAATTATTTAAAAAGAAGATAGATATTAAAGTCCTTATTTTTTTTTTAATCTAGGCTTTTTTACAAAACAGTGCAAGTGGAGAAGTTTTTACACCTATATAAATATCTTTTTTGATGAAAGGGGTAAGGTGACGATTTTAAATTTTGTATTAATGCATGTAAATATTATTAAATAATAATAATAATAATAAATTATGTAATTCAGAGATAGGAAACAAGCGAGATACATTGGTAACGAAAAGGATTTCGATCTCTTTCACAAATAATTCCATAATCTATTATTATATTTATTTATATTACAATTTAAAGTTCATTGCGTATAATGAAAAGATTGCATAAGAGAAAAAATTTTCATTATATAAATTTTTTTATTTTGATTGAATGCATCTATAAACTGATTTGTGATTATAATTATTTTATTATTGTAATTGATATTATAAATGCAAAATTAAATTTTTCTTTCGTTGAAAATTCGTTTCCTCCTTCTGTGTGCAGGTATATCATAATAAAAAATAGTAAATATATTACGATTATTATTTATTATTTTCTGTTCTCACGGAAAAATGCGAATCTGCAGATATTTTCGTGGGTAAAATTTTTGTATGACAAAAAATTTTGTTAGAACTATATATCTATTATATTAAAAACGTTGCGTTCACGTGTCCTAACGTTTAGAATGGCACGCACGCATAAATAAACGTAACGTTTAGGCTGCCACGCATAAATAATTTTTTTGAATTGTTCAATAACGCAAACATAGTAAATATATTACGATTATTATTTATTATTTTCTGTTCTCACGGAAAAATGCGAATCTGCAGATATTTTCGTGG